GTGCGACGTAGTTTCATTCGTAGTGCAGTCGGGCAGTCTAGGATATCTATATTATCGTTGAAATCATTTATATCTATTTTTGTTGAAATCACCAGCCGAATCCCAGCAAATGGAATCCTGTCGCACTTTTATATTCTTTATGTAGAACGATTGAATAAGGCGAAATCCCCGTTGTTAATCGATTTTACAACATGTATTTTGGAGTTTTTGTTGGCGACACTTTCCGCGACTATTTCAATCGTGGAACTCCTTCATTATCCAGGTAGAGCTGTCTGCCATTGCAGACTGCGTTCATACTTCGCGATTTGATCACACTGATCGCGAGCGATCAGTGTGATCAAATCGCGAAGTATGAATTCGTTTTGTCGCTCTGATCGCGTGACAACATTGGGATGAGGGTGAGGGAGGAGGGGAGGGAGGGTGATCCACCGTTAAAGCACGTTCCGCCTTTATTTGATATTCAGACTCCTTCTCTGGACATGGTAGTCCGTGCCTGTGAGTACAGATGTACCACTTTAGGCTTGAAAATACGTGAGGAGGGCGCGACTTGCTTGCGACAAAGTTACCGGCCCCGCCCAGTCGCCACCACAACTCCCATTTTTTTAAGATTGGCGATGTCCCAGGTTCTTTAAAATTGGCGATGTGGTCTCTCTCCAATTCAAGTGCTGAAAGTGAGGTGATAAGGAGTAAGAGCTGGTTCCAATAAGTGAAAACTCGTCCGGCAACGCCTTTCCTTCGTCTTATGCGCGTACAAGCTGGTTTGAGGGGTCCTGTATGGGTCATTTTGGGCGAGCATTTTATGTATTTCCCTCACTTTTGCGTTGCTTACCCTCTTGTCACAAGTATTTTACCCGCAAAACTTACCATTTTTGAACGCGGGGCGTGCCTTTGATTGGTGAATAGCTGCAGCGGTCGCTTTACAAGTGGTTCTGGCATAGCTCACTGGAGTTCCAAGGGTTAAGCGGTTCTTGGTAGTGTAGCTTTACAAAACTGGGAATACCACTTCGTTTTCTCAAATGCAGCAATTGTCTGCTTTTGTGCATTAAATGTTAGCGATTTCTTGCATGTCATTGTGTCAGTAAATTGTATCATTGCAGTATATCCGAGTCAGTACTACTGGATGCTGAATATTGCTTTTTGGAAGTCTATCTCTGAATCTCATATCTGAAATCACAGTCCCCAAATTCGAATAAGAAGTCCCGTGGTGTATGGAAAAGTCACTCGAGCATACATTTTCGGCTCAGTTCGGCTTGGTGGTGGCATTGTGCCGGTTCCTATCGATCATTGATCACGCTTCTAGTGTAGAGCTGTAAATTTTCGTAAAGCTATTCAATGACAGGAGCTACGTTCACGTAGCAAGAGCTCGCAAGCCCCGGCCAAGGGTCGGACGGGTAATTCAACTAGCGAATCCTTAGCGCGACTCAAACTTCCGTCATATCTTGCCATCCATGTCTAGGATAAGGGATCAACTGTGGAACTCTGCCGTCGTTTCTCAGTCGACTTCAGACTGGGATAGATACAAGCTATTTGACAGGAAATACTCCAAAAAACTCAGTAAATATTATGCGTATGTTGAAGCTAAACTGTTATCAAAAGGGGGTGTCAAAGGTTTTTATGCGGTCCTCAATTCTAGACTATCTGACAAACCTTGTGTAGCTACTCTGTGTAACAATTCTGATAGAGCGTTAACTGAGAGTTGAAAAGCTAAAAATGTTAGCTGATGTTTGTGATCTGATTTCTCTCATTTCTTCCTCTTCCGATCGTTTACCATTGGACATTAATATAGTATCCAATGACCCAGCTCCTTGGTTCTACAAAAACGACATTGCCGAAGCTTTGTTGAATTGGTCTTCCCAAGCCAGCGTGAATCCAGACGGTCTCCCCTATCAGTTTATCAAAAATTGTATCCATGAAATCACAGGCCCTCTTGAATTCCTTTTTAACCTCAGTCTCATGAGGAGTGAAGTCCCTTCTAGATGGAAACATGCCATCGTAATTCCACTGGCAAAGAAAGAACCGTACTCTAACCCTGCGAAGACTACCCCCCGCCCCCCCCCCCCCCCCCCCCCCCCCCCCCCCCCCGACCCAATCAGTTCTTATTCTATTTTTGCCAGGGTTTTTGAAAAACTCCTCAAGAGGTACCTCATTTCTCACATTGATAAATATGCCATCATTCCGAACTCGCAAGCATGGTTTCAGCAAAGGGAGGTCTACTGAGACGTCTTTACTAGATTGTTTTAATGACTGGACTAAAGCCTATGAAGAGGGCAAGAATGCTGACGTTATTTACTTTGATTTTCAGAAGGCATTTGACAAGGTCCCTCACGATTTGCTCTTCAAAAAACTGGTTCAATTTGGATTTCACCCTCTTGTTGTAAGATGGATTACTGAATTCCTAAATAATAGAACCTTTCAAGTTATGGTGGGGAACTCATTTTCTTCAATTCGCACGGTGAAATCAGGCGTGCCTCAAGGTGGCGTGCTTTCCCCGGTACTGTTCAATATATTTACTGCTGATTTCCCACGCCTTTTCACGGGTCTTAACATCACGTGTAACCTTTATGCTGATGACATTAAAATTTATAAGTTGCTCCGAAGGCAATGGTCCTGATGCCGAACTTCAGCTGGCCATAGATAAAGTGCTTCAATGGTCTAAAGTTAATCAACTTCCTCTCTCTACTGAAAAAACTAAAGTTATGTGTATTGGGAGGCTCCCACGTAACCCGTCATACCTTCTAGATAATTCGATACTGGAGTGTTGTCTTAGTGTCGTGATTTGGTTTCCATTACGATAGAACGCTCGGCTTTTCAAATCATTATAAATCTTTGGTGGCTAAGGCCTTTCGTCGGATCTTCAATCTCTTCAGAGCACTCAGAACTAGAAATCCCAAGGTTCTTTTGAAAGCTTATAAGATTTATGTCCGCCCCATTCTTGAATCGGGGACTACTGTCTTTAATCCTCACAGTAAGAAAGATATTTGCGCTCTAGAGGGTATCCAAAACAACTTTACTCGTAAGCTGATGCTTCGCTGCTTCAACTCGAATTACTCCGATATACCTAGCGGAAAAGAGCATACTGCCAAACAGTTAGGTTTAAATCCCTGAATGCGTAGGACGGAAACGGATCTGATGGCTTCTCATCGGCTTATAAAATTCTGCATGGCTTGACTACAATGGACGCTTCCAAATTTTTCGTTATTGTTCATTCTAATACTAGGGGAACATCGGCTAAGATTTCAACCGCTGTCGCTAGGTCCAAACCCAGGTCTCAGTTTTTCTCCAACAGAGTTCGTTCTAGCTATAATCTACTCTTACGCCGCAATCTCATCCCACAAAATCTCAATGCCTTCAAACGTTCACTTAGTAAGTTAGTTTGATCATTTCCTTCTCCACGTTTTATCTTGTTTGTTTGTTCATTTGGTTGTTTTGTATGTTTGTTTGTTGTTTCTTCCATCAAAATTACATGCATTTAAGCATGTCCATAAATAAATAAATAAAAAAAGAAACGAGCTGTCTGCAGAATCTTCCCCCCCCCCCCCGTCCCCTTGAGCTGAATAGCGGCAGCCGTTCAGTGTATGGATTGCAGTATAATGTGCTTTCATAATTAACATGTACGTCGTGAGCGTCGCGTTGGATGTGATCTAACATTCTACTGATTCATTCATTTATTTCAGGCAGTGCTTACTGCCTGTACTCACGGCCATGGGCCTGAAGATGGGTGAAAGATACGTGATAACCGTGGGTATTCTGTTTCTGTCAACAGTCTCGTTTCTTTCACTGTATCTACTTCCATCTAGTGGCACTGATGAGATACTTGGTAGAGAGCATATAGTGCCTCGTGTCAGAGATCTTGAAGCACGGTAAGGCAAGTACCCAGCTTTCTCCCTTGTAGAATTGTATTTTGCTTTCTTAAGGAGGTATATGCAAGAGAAGCAAGCTGCGGAGCTCCAGAGAAAAGCTGAAGAGGCAGGAATAGTTGCGCCTCCCATACCAAAGCCTGAAATTGCTGCTGGTGACGATAGTGATGCACGGCGGATAACTGTGAAGCAGGTAGTCTCTTGTTACTGATTTTTATCCTGCTATTATTTTGGAATCCACAGAGGTTTGAATTATTTATAGATGACCAAGTTCGCCTGGGATTGCTACAGGAAGTACGCATGGGGTGCGAATGAGTTACGGCCAGTTTCCAAAACTGGTAAGTCGACATTCATTGCTTTACCGGGGTCACCGTTCAGGATGTGGAGCGCTTTTTCAAAGCGGTTTTCTCGTTCGTTATGGGAGCACGTACATAGAACGCATGTATCTGTTCCCAGAAGTGTTAAAAGACAAAGAAAACAGGAAAGGAGTTGGAGTCAGAAGTTTTGGGAGAGTGCGATTCGTGGGGCTTTGATGTGCTTTTGCATTTGTAGCCGCATTTATAGCCTTCGGACTGATTTTTTTATTAGGCCAAAAACAGCGCGCAAATGTTCGGTTGAGTAAATAGAGACGCTTGACACAAAAATATTATTTTGTAAAAAAAGCTCTGGTCAATTCTGTCCACAGGGCATATCCATTATTTCCACTTTCCACCATTTCTCCATCGAACAGTGTATGTCCCTCTCAAGGCGCTCGCTTGGCTCTGAGGCAAAGAGCTGAACATTCATATTCGTGAATGTCGTAAATTTTTCTCAGCCACATGGGCCGTAACGAGCGGCATTCGGATGGGATAATATCAGGGCTATATGGCACGGGGAAGAAAGATTGCAGTGTCTTCTGCTGAGCGATCCTAGCTTTTGGTGCTGAGGTTGGCTTTCATGGTCATTAACATGGTGCAGCCAGGGTACAGCATCGTGATGTGTGAAATGGTGGTGTAGGTACGACCCTCCCCCTCCGAGAGAGGTTGTGGGTACGCCCTCCCCTTCCCCCCCCCCCATTATTCTCCCAACACCTACCTACCAGTTCCCCACATTTCCCAGTTTTTCACCGAAACATTTTCCTTCGACCGGGGAGAGAAGGGGGAGGGACGAGAGATAAATAACAATTTGAAACGGGAAAATTTTTGATTTATCCAACTTCCTTCCACTTTCCGGAATTTACAGAATTTTCTTACTTTTCCCCAAAAATTTTGCTGTCGAGCGAGGAGGAGGGGCGAAAAGTCAATAACCAGAAAAAATTTTCCGGCGCTTCCCAACGCAGCAAATTTCTCTTACTTAGAGGCGCATAAGACCCCACCCCTTCCCGCCGACGAAATACGACCCGCCCTCGCCAGCGGAAAGGAACGACCCTTATGTGTTTCACACAACGATGCTGTAGCCTTAGTGCAGCCACTTTCCCGGTTCAGTTAGACCGCGTTCAGACTTCGCGATCGGATCGCTCGAATGAATTGCGCGATCTACCATTCCAGAAACTGTAACCCACGACGGTGGAACCATAAACCATACCGTCGCGTCTCGCCTTGGGTAAAGACTTTTCCACTAATCCGCTGTCTTAGCATAGCTTCATTCTTTTTCGGATTGTTAGAAAACCTGTGGGGAGGAGAATAGTTATTAATAATAATTAATAGTTCTGAGTTTCATGGTTATAAACCTGGTCACTGTTGTAAGGTTATAAACTTCCTTTACTTTCAAGGACATTCCGCTTCGGTATTTGGAATGGGAGACATGGGAGCAACGATAGTGGATGCAATCGACACGTTGTGGATTATGGGTCTGAAAGAAGAGTATGAGCAAGCTCGAAGCTGGGTTAAACATAGTCTGGACTTCACGAGAACAGCGGTAAGCTCGCTGTGATGCCTTTACTTCTGAGAGATCTTGAGAACATCACACTTACCCGTGTTTTTCTGCAGAAAGGTGATTTATCAGTTTTCGAAACAAACATTCGTTTTGTTGGAGGACTGTTATCCATTTATGCTCTCACAAATGATAAGGCGAGTTTCACACTATGAAGGTATCTCTGCGGTCTTGGAATAATCGCGTTCAAGTACTGTTTTGCAGATGTATGTTGAAAAAGCGGAAGAAATTGCCAAACTCCTTCTTCCTGCTTTCAATACTCCTACTGGAATTCCATACGCCGTGGTGAATGTGGTCACTGGTGAGTGCTCGATACTTTTACAATCGCAAATGTTGGTCAGGTCCGTTACCTGATACGAGATACTATAAAAGTTGTATAAGGGCATGTCGCTATAGGAGGAGTCGTATTTAGATGCTGGAACAGCATCTCTGATTGTTGGTCTCCCTTTTTGACGCGCATTACGTAGCCCCTTTTTAGTCAGCGGCGCCTCACCGGCTACAAAGGGTTACATAGTGCACGTGAAATGCAGCTGATCGAAGGTGTCTATTCCCCCTCTGCTTCTCCCCTCTCCTCCCCTCCCAACTCCCCCTCCCCGATCAGCGGAGCAGGTTTTTGAAAAATTCGGTAAGGTAAACGTCGGTTTTGGAAGCGGTTCATACGGTGGAGAAAATTTGGGGAGCTCTAATGTGTCATACAGTTCCCCCTGAGCAAAGAGATGCCTGCTTTTCACATAACACGCAGTGACCAGAAAACTGTATGTTGCATCAAGCGGCAGTGCCGCTGAGCAATATTTTTGTAAAACGGCCCTCCCCTCAAAATTTTGCTTTATAGTACGCCCACTCCCTCCCCATCCTACCTTCGTCTTTCCAGTTTTTCCCAGCGTTCTTCTACCTTTGCGGAATTCCTTCTTTTTTGAGAATTTTCCAGTTTTTTCCCAAGAAAAGGGCCATCGTACAGGTGCTAGCACCAGCAGTAGCGCACCTAAAGCAGGAAAATCCGAAAAACGACAATCGAATACATCTCTAGTGGCCAAGTACGGCCACCCATCCCTTCAGCGACCAAATGCGACCCCCCTCTCGCTAGGGACCCCAACTTACAAGTGGCCTGGTTCTATCATTGTCAGTGACATCTAAATACACGTCTCTAATGAGCTATATGGCGTCAGTAACACAGCCATCTATCCCTTAGGCAGCGTTCAGAGATCGATGCGCATGCTTTCAAGTGCATCGATCGCGTCGAATGCGAGAGAGGCGCTGCCGTGGCGAAGTCTGAACGCTGCCTTAACAGGTAATGTTCTGGACTACGCGTCTGCGCTACATCTTTTCCCTTTTACAGTTTCGCTTGGTCATTGTTTACTGCCAGCTTACATGCCTCACATTTACTTTACTGAGCAATGCTGTTTGCAATATTATGCTCCTAACTTAAGGTTCGGCCAAAAACTATGGTTGGGCAAGTGGTCAGAGCTCGATTTTATCAGAGTTTGGTTCTCTACAACTAGAATTTGACTATTTGTCTCACGTCACAGGCAATAAGATCTACTCGGAGAAGGTAAGCAGTATATCTACATGTGGGCCGGAAATCTCGAAAAGTATTGAAAATAGATCAAACGAATTCGTGACTTCTTGACTGAAATGGACAAGCCTAATGGACTCTACCCATTGTACCTGAATCCAAAGACTGGCAAATGGGGATCATGTAAGGGTTTTGCGTTGCTATGCTGTCTCCTACTTAAGTGCATGGTTTATCAAATGATTCAATTCCAGTGGACCATTCCATTGGCGCTTTGGGTGACAGTTTCTACGAATACCTTTTGAAACACTGGTTAATCACCGGCAAAACGGATGATCACACTAAAAAGGAATATGATGCTGCTGTCTTTGCCATGGAGAAGAAGATGCTGTACAAGAGCGAAGCGAGCGGATTATGGTAACTGTTTGAATTCATATATTTATTTACACAATGCGGAAGGTCATATTCGCCTACTTTCACAGAGTTTCCCTTACTTTCCCTTGTGGCTTGTTTTCGTGCGAGCACAAAATGGTCTTAATAAAGGTTGTTTCGTGAGGACCTGCAGATTCCTGTGAACAAACTGACTTGTACCATTACACCTTCCAGAAGTTGACAGGTCTAACCTGAGGCGCGCTCATATTTTGCGGCAGCGTCCACCAGCGACCAACAGCGTCCATCAGCGTTCCGAGCGTCCGGTAGCGTCAGCGACTAGGAAAGTATAGATATCGATCTAGCGTCTACCAGCGTCCACCAGCGTCTCAAGGGCTAATGAAGTATAGATATCGATCTAGCGTCTGCCAGCGCGCACTAGCGTCTAGCAGCGTCCAGGAGAGGATAGTATTGGGCGATAGGAGAGTAGCAGACAGCCTCCTGTCGCGCCAAACTCTCTACGAGCAGTCTGCCACTCTCCTTTCTCCCCATGCTCTACCAGCTGTCTGCTACCCCTATCGCGCCATACTCCTCTCCCCCGGACGCTGGTAGACGCTGGAAGACACTAGATCGATACCTATATGTATTTCCCTATTTCCCTAGTCGCTGACGCTGCTGGACGCTCGGAGAACCTTTTTGTTAACGTGAACCAACAAAAGGAACTTGCAGAAGTGCAAGATATTCCTCCATGGCGAATAGTGCTTAAAAAGTAATCCAATTGCGCGTAAACATACTGTAAGTAAAAGAGTGGTAATTTAATGCTAGGTAATAAATGTATAAGTAAAAGAGAAGTAATTTCTTGCTAGGTAATAAATGTGCACGCTACCGGGTTCAATTTTCATGGGTGCGGCGCTTGGCTATACCTTTTTTTCTAAGAAATGGAGCTCGTATGTAGGCACGTTGCATTCAAATGTTATTTAACGCGAACTAGCAGGAGGAGTAGTCGAAAATGGAAAATGCCCACTTCAAGTCGAACAGCTCCATTTTTTCTTCAGTAATCGAGAATTTATCGATAACTTCATCAATACTAATATGCACATGTTGTTCACTAAATCCAAAAAATGTGTGGACACAAGTTAGAAAGAGAAAGGCAAAGAATCGAATACAGCTATACCTTTCTCTTATTCGCATAAGCCACTAGGGGGCGCATGCGGCCCGTAATATGTTAATTTTTTATAAAACGGTAATTTTCCCGCATTAGCACTCCGCTTCTAGGTATTTTGCCAATCTTCATGGAAGTCGAGTAGTGCATAAAATGGAGCATCTCGCCTGTTTCTCGGGAGGAATGTTTGCACTTCAGTCAGCCAACGAGTACAATGCCAGTGTTTCGGTATGGTTGTATTTTTAGAAATATTCTGTGATTTACTGGTTGGTACACCTATTATAGAGTTTATGTGATTTACTGGTAGGTTACTGGTTGGTAGATGTGCACCTCTGTATAAGGTAGCACGATTCGCAGTTGCACAAGTTGCACCGTTTAGCGCCTGAGCAATGTAGGCGCTGAGGTTGTCATTCTTTGTAGCGACTCCACCCATCAACAGCGACTCTAATTACCGAATTCATACCTGGCGTCGTACTTGACTCTCCCTTCCCCATTCCTTTGTCTCTGGTCTCTCGCTAGTGCTCGCAGCGTTTCTTCGCCTCGCGCTTTCCATGCTCACCCAAAGTTAAACATTAATTGGAAAGAGACGGATCTCCTTTATGGCATTTGCCACGCTTTATCTGCTTTTTTCTCAACGATAAGACGATTAGCATCTACGAGGCCTATAACTGCATTACCAGCTTGAGATCGCAGAGTGTGGCTTCAGAGTGTATGCAATTCCGTTTCTT